GTTGCTGAGTTCCCCTGCCTAATGGGGCCATCCTCATTAGGACGAGGCATTCCTGGGTGCCCTGTGCACACCACGGCTGCTGTGCCCTTCCCTGGGATGGCCTGGCTTTCGGACACAGCTGGCGAGAGCTGGGTACCAAGGGGCTCCCGCATGTGGTGGGGGACCCTCAGCATCCTGCCCAGGCTTTGATTAACCATGGGAAACCCACCTCACCAAACGATTTCAATTCAAGATGAGAGGTCTGCCCAGGGGAAAGGCAGAGATGGGTGCCCTGGGGAGGCAGCAGCAGCGCCAGTGTGAGGCAGCCCGGGGTACCCCAGTGCTGGTTGGTGATGGTGGATGGTCAGCAAAGGGCTGCTGAGGTTCTGCAGGGATCCCTGCCAGGCATCGCCACATCCAGCACTTTAGTCAATGGTCTTGAAATGAACCCCAGATTACAGCTGATAAAAGTTTGAGGGTGGCCAGAGGGTATGCAGAGTTGTAAGTGACAAGACTGCCCCTTCCTCCAAATCCCCAATCTGCATGCTGAGACAAATATTCTGGGACAACACAAAAAAGTAGACCTGGAAAGACCTTCGGCAGCAGCCCTGAGCCTCATTCTTTCGGGGACACGGAAAACAGATTCTTCCATCCCTCTTTGCAGCAATATCGTGATTTAAGTGAATGCCGTTTTCATTATCTCCTGCTAGCTTCCAAATAAGGATGTCATGCCAGTGGTGTTGGTCTGTATCAGTCAGACATGGAATCGTGCTGGGAGGTGATGACAAGTTTGCATAGCAATACCTGCCTCCCCTGAGATGAGGCTGATCAGTACTAAATGCACTTTTCAGTCTTTATCTTTCAGCTGACAGAATCAAAATTAATTCTTCTGTTATTTTTTTTTTTTTTTTTTTTTTTTTTTTTTTTTCTGGTGCTATCAGTAATCTAGAGTTTTCTGGGTCAACTGGTTTATTTTCTTAATGACCGGAGTGATTTCTGTCCTTCAGTCCTCTGGAATTACCCCAGTTTTTCTGCTCTGTTAAAAATTACCATCCGCCGCTCGATAAGACCCTCAGTTAGGTCCATTAATACTCTCAGTGTGGGCCTGATGAATTGGAAATGTCAATTTTAGCAGGTGATGCTTTACACGCTGGCTTGTTACAGATGGCATCCAAATGACAGCATCTCCTTCTCCGTTGCATCCACAGTGTTTCACTGGTATTTAGGCACTGATGGCTATGGAAAACAGCAGAAGGCTGCTTACCCGCATCCTTTTGTGATTTCTCTTGTTTCCTTCTAACGCAAATGTATTTGCCCCATCTCCTTTTTTATTCCACCCTCGTTTTTCCGCCCTTGAGCCATGCCTAGCAAGAAGGCAATGGGCCAAGGTTGGGCATGTAGCTGGAAGGCATGGTGGGGACCAGACAGCCGGTGACCCTGGTCCTACCAGGCACGGCAGGAAATCCTGGCCAAGCCAGTTAGACACGAGCGTCTTGGTGCTTGGGATTGTGTGGGCATGAGCGTGTTGGAGTGGGTGGGCGAAATCAGGTTTTGCTTAGCGATAAAACCCCTTCCCAGTCCTGTGTCTGCTGCAGCTTCTGCTCCCCTCCGTGGCTGATGGGCTCCCCAGCACCGGGAGGGAGGGTGTAGAATCATTCACTCCTTCATCACTCCTGAATCTCCCTTCCCTTGGAGAAAGATCCTGCAGCCCCCAGCCTCACCCACGGGTGAGTGTGGGATGCTGCTCCCAAGGATCACAGGATTATCCAGGCTCTGCAGCCCACCCTGTTCTTTATGGCGTGATGGGGATGGAGTGAAGCCCCTCACCACCATGAAGCTCAGCTGCTGCCTGGGCCCGTGTGTGTGCTCGTCGTGGCTGACCTGCTTAATCACGGGCTTCTGCCACCTCCGCCAGCCTCTGGCTCTGTTGATTTAAAATCTGCAAGCACCTCGGTTTTGCCTGGGTTTTGGCTGGGGCAGCAGCCCCGGCGTCACATCCCTAAATCCAGCCCGAAGATGTCGCCCTGCTTGAACCAAAGTCACCCTGACTTGGCTGTTGCTCACTTCTCCATCCCGCTACGTTGACTTCTGCTAAAAGCAGCCGGATGACTTTGCCTCCCTGGATACTCCCCAGCTCCTGGGAGCAATTCTAGAAAAGCCAGCTGGGATGAGAGCAGAGCGGTCAGGAAAGAGACGGGCAGGTGGCAGAGAGCATGGCCATCGAGGCAAACATAAGGAGAGCATCAAAAACAGGAGGGTGTGGAGAAATTGGCTGTTCGGGGGAGCTGGGCAGGGCTGTTTGGATGAGACACCAGGGCTGGGGGTAAAAGAATGAATGTGGATTTTTAAAATTTATGCCCCTTTCAGGGGATGTCCCCGGCTGCCACCAGCCCTCTGCAATTGGGGATCCCCACCTCGGCCCAGCCTTTCCAGGGATGAGCAAACCCACTGCGCCCTTTTCTGGGGGCTGCACTGACCCGGTGGCCGTGCCCAGAGATGGGGACTATGGACATGGCTGCTGCTGTTGTCACTGCTGGGAGCAGGCAAGCAGAGGAAGGTGGCATGGAAATGACACCCTTTGCTCTGCTCAACCACTTCCCACCCCATTGCTCCCGCTCCCTCCCTGCTGCATCTCCACACGGCTGCTCCAGAGTGGGGACCTTCCCTCAGGGAGTGGGGAGAAGGGGAGGGGAGACGGCTGGGTGTGACGAGGGGAGCAGTGGACAGGCGACTCCCTGAGCACATCACTCCACAGCTCAAAAATCACCAAGAATACAATTTTGCAGCACGCAATCGCCGGTTTTGAGGAGGCTGTGAAAGGGTTTGAGTTCTCCTGAGGAAATCAAAAGCTGAAATGTTGCACATCGCTGAAAAAAATACTTCTCTTAATATGTGGTTTGCATAATAATACAGCACGAGTTTATGATGCAACGCAGCTGGCTTCCTAAGAGATGGGGTAACCAGGGTAAAAAAAAAATATGGCCTTTTGGGGTCCTGTTTTGTTCACCCAAAAGCTCTTTTCTCAGAAAGTCTTGAAAGTATTTAATGAGCATTTTTGTGACCCTGGAAAGCTAAAACCAGGGTTGCAACACAGCAGTCCCCAGAACCTGTAAATAAATAAGGGTCTCCTTGAGACACACTCAAGGTGCCTGTGCTGGGTTCAAAGCTGGGGTGAGCCCGGCTGGCGGGTAGGCGCACCAGGACTTTGGGCAGACCCAGGAGGAACGGGCAGGGACGGGAGGACAGGTTGCTGTCACTGGAGGTGTGTCCCATGCGAGGTACCAGCCCGTGATGGGCTGCCTCTCTTGGGCTGCTGCGAGGTGGCTGGTCTTTGCTCATTTGAGAAGGGAAAGGACTGTGGCAGCCCTGGGGCGAGGTGTGGTTGGCACAGCATCCTCTCTCTCCTCCCAGCGCAGTGGTGGGCTGCTGCCCAACTCTGCATGGCCTCCCCTACGGACATTAGGGAGCTGTAAGTCCTCACTGCATATCCATGAAGGCAGCAGTGATACGTTCTCCTGGCTCCAGAGTCCCCACCAGCATGGGGGTTCCTCTCCTTTCCCCATCATGGAGGCCTCCCCGTCTGGTGGGCACAGAGTGAGCTGAGACCTGGCAGCTCTGGGCCCTGCTTGTCCCCACATCAGCTGCAAAAAAATACAGGGAAAGGAATGGAGGTGCCGAGACACGGCTAGGTTTTGGTGACATCTTCTCTGCTTCCCAGGCAGCAGGATGTGGTCCCTGTGAGGCAGCCTGTGGCTCCATCTAGCGCCCATGCCAGCCCAGCCCGGGCCAGCCCTGCACCCATTGCTGGGCAGATGGGCCAAATCAGAGCCCTTGGCAGCCAGCGAGGGCAACCTGGCCAGAAGCAGCCACCCCAGGGAGCCCACCACCGGCTCCCGGGCTGGCAGCTACAGGAGGGCAGTGCTGCAATGGCATCCAGGGAAAAAAAAACCAACAGGGAATACTCCGAGCAGTCAGTCAAGGAAATCACCCAGTGCTGCCTGACAGCAGGGGACGGGTCTCCCACCCCTCATAGAGGAGGTGCTCCTTGGCACAGGAGATGCCAAGTGTTCCAGGGGAGGTTCAGGTTGGATATTAGGATAATTTTTTACACTGAAAGGGTTATCAAGCATTGGAATGGGCTGCCCGGGGAAGTGGTTGAGGCACCATCCCTGGAGGTGTTCAAAAGACAGGTTGACATGGTGCTGGGGGACATGGTTTAGCAATGTTTTTTTTTTTGTCAGAGTTAGGTTGATGGTTGGACTAGATGATCTTGAAGGTCCCTTCCAACCTAGAGGATTCTATGATTCTGTACCAACCCCAGCGCTCAGCCAGGCCCACCGCTGAGGAGGGCTCTTCATGGGGACAGATGGCTGTCCCGAAACCGGTCCCGGAGGAGTGCTGGGAGTGGCCTGTCTCAACACCCGCTTCTCCCCAGCCTGCCCGGAAAAGCGCCACTGGGAAAGTTTGCCAGGCTTCCCAGCTAGGGATTTCCAGCAGGCGAGGAAGAGATCCCAGCTGCAGTGCAGGAGTTGGGGGGAGGTCCAAAAAGGCTCCGGCTCCCTCCTCCTCCCATCCCGACAGCAAAAGGGAAGAGTGTGCCATCTCCATCACCAGCACAGCTTCACGGGGGCAGGTGAGTGGCCTTGAGTCTGCCCACCACCCTGAGGACAGGTGACAGCTGCCCCTCCGTGGGGGCTGCCCCGGGGGTGGGGGACATGGCAGAGGCAAAGTTTGCACCCAAGCTGCCTGTGCGTGGCCACCCCCTGAGCCCCGGTGCTCCAGGTGCCTGGGGACCCCGGTACCCGGCTGCCCCCGGTGTGGTGGCCATGCTCTGCCCGGGGACACTGCGGTGCCAGCCAGCCCGGCCTCCTGGCAGGGACCCTGGCAAGCTGCAGCCCTTCCTGTGTCCCTCCTCCCCCCCACCGCCCATCCTCCCCCGACGGGACGGCCTGGGCAAAGCGCTGAGTCACCCCAGCTGTCCCCGCTCCCGCTGTCCCCTCCCGCTGGCCTTTCCGGTAGGGACCGACCGGGCAGCTGACTCGGCAGGAGGCCGGGGACAAGCCGGGGCCCGGGGGCTACCCCCGGGGCGGGTGGGTGGCCGTGCCCCTGTGCGCTGCGCCGCTGCGGGGGGGCAGCGACCGAGGTCAGTGCCACCACCACCATCACCCCCCGGCCCCGACGTCACCCCCGTTGCCGGTACTGCCGCCGGGAGAGCGGGGCTACGGGGATAGGGACCGGGAAGGCGGCGGGGAGAGGGGGACGGGGACAAGGAGGACGAGGGACGGGGACCGGGGAAGGGGGTCCGAGCAGCAGCGGAACCCCTCTCCGCGCTTAAGGACGGGCCCCCCCTCTCCCTCCGCCATGACCTCACCCGCCGGCACGTCGAGCGCGTGACGTCACGGGCAGGCCGCCCCGCGGTTGGCTGCAGCCGCCGCTCGTCGGGCCAGCGGGTCCCGCCTCCCTCCCGGC